AAAAAAGTTTTGAATGTAGTCACAGGCAGGTGGGGGGGGGGGTGACATATTAAATGCAGGAGAACAATAAGCCCAAGGACGGAAGTTTCTCATCAGATATGATGGAGGCCAGGAGACAGTAGAACATCTTCAAGGTGCCAAAAGAAAAGAACTATCAACCTTGAATTCTGTTTCTAGTGAAGATATCTTTGAGGGATGAAGGTGAATTTATCAAAGCAGACCTGTTCTGTAAAGACATGCGAAAATGGATTTCTTTAGGTTGAAAGAAATGACGCCAGGGTTCACTTGAAACTTCAGGGAAAAGGAAGTGAAACAGAAAAGGTGGATATTTGCATAAATGTAGTCTAGTATTTTTCTCATCTTAATTTTTTTTTTTTTTTTTAAATTTTTTTTTTTTCAACGTTTTTATTTATTTTTTTTGGGACAGAGAGAGACAGAGCATGAATGGGGGAGGGGCAGAGAGAGAGGGAGACACAGAATCGGAAACAGGCTCCAGGCTCCGAGCCATCAGCCCAGAGCCTGACGTGGGGCTCGAACTCACGGACCGCGAGATCGTGACCTGGCTGAAGTCGGACGCTTCAGCGACCGACTGCGCCACCCAGGCGCCCCATCATCTTAATTTCTTTAAAATATACTTTCCTGTTGAAATGCAAAAATATATTGCCAGCAAAATATGGTAAAGAAGTAGAGCTTTTAGAGTATTTACCACTTCCATGGGATATAACCAGTTACTTAAGTTTCCTGACCAGTTACTTACTTAAGCTTCCTGAACCTCTAACTCTTCTGTAAAATACAGATGTCTGTATCCACTCTTTACAGTTACTGGAGGAATTATTAATAATGCATAGGAAGTGTGCAACATACAATAAGAGATCAATGAATGGCATTTATTTTGTGGTTGCTTTTATTCACATTATTATTTATTTATTTATTTATTTAAATTTTTTTTTCAATGTTTTTTATTTATTTTTGGGACAGAGAGAGACAGAGCATGAACGGGGGAGGGGCAGAGAGAGAGGGAGACACAGAATCGGAAACAGGCCCCAGGCTCCGAGCCATCAGCCCAGAGCCCGACGCGGGGCTCGAACTCACGGAGCGCGAGATCGTGACCTGGCTGAAGTCGGACGCTTAACCGACTGCGCCACCCAGGCGCCCCTCACATTATTATTTAAACTGTGCTAACACTATGCAGCGGGTAGTACTGTGTTCAATACTAGGAAAAGTGAATTACTTCCCTCAGAGATCCTTACATACTGCTTTTATGTACCATCGATGTTTGGAAATTCCTTTAGATTACTACACAGGATGCAGTAAAGAAGTTGTGTTTGATAAAGGTCTCTCATACCGTCTTCCTTGGGAAGTTTTCTCATCCCCTAACCTCCAAGAAGGCATTGGGCATATTTTATAACATGTAACTCTATTTCTAAATACCTGAAATACAAACAAATGG